CCGTTGTTGTCTATCAGTCATACACTGGAGGCTAAGGGGGTCCACCAAAAAGCATGCACAGAGAAGTCAAAATTAAACATGATTTAATGACTTGTACATGTAAATACACATTGATGGCCTAAGACACGAAACGAGCGGTTTCTGTGAGAAAACGAACAGTATTTATATCGTTTTTACCTCTTGTAATCATCGGCTTCGGTCTGCGCATGCGCCAGAAGTGATTGCTTGTGCGCCTACGTCACTCTTTGTTTATACAGAGATTTCGGAAGTTTTACCTTTCACTAAACATATTTAGATATACGGGAAACCGCAATGGAAGACGATTTTGGTATATCTAAATATGTTTAGTAAAAGGTAAAACTTCAGAAATCTCCGTGTAAATATTGAGTGACGTCACACGCAAGTGATCACTTCTGGCGTAACATTGAACTAATTCAGTTCGGTTCAGTTGGACATTGCACAACTGATTCAGATCACTTGGACGTCACTGTGATTACACGAGGTAAAAACGATATAAATACTTCGATATAAATAATAATGATAAAAATGAACGATATAAATAAAAGTTCGTTTTCTCACAAAAAATGCTTGTTTCGTGTCTTAGGCCATCAATGTGTACTTACATTTACGAGTCATTAAATCATGTTTAATTTTGACTTCCCTTTGCATGCTTTTTGGTGGACCCCCTTAGCCTCCAGTGTATGACTGACAGACAACAATGGTTTGACTGAAAAATGTCAAAATTTAAAATACTGTGGAAACAAAGACACCTACATCTTGGATGCCCTTGAGGTAAGCTAAAACATATCAAAAATTAATTTCAAAGTGAACTATCCCTTTAAGAGAAGCTACACACTCAATCAATTAAGGTTAAATATAACATGCTAGAAACAATATTCACAGCAAAAATATAGAATTTTTATTTTGGCTGGTCAGTGAACAACACACTGGATTTATTTGACTATGTGGTTCACTTGGGTCTCAGATAGACTTCAATAATAAAAATTCAATAATGTTGTGTACAATGCAAACGTGTTGCACTGTGATACTAGGCTTTTAATGTAACTCTGTTGTTCTCTGTTTTCCACACACTTATGTGATGTTGTGCGTCTGAAAATAGAAAGTGTAGAAGCTTGCTAATCTGTTACTATAACCTGCAGGGCAGGATCGTGACCTTATGCTCATATGCTTGTGCATTTGTGTGTGTGTGTGTGTGTGTGTGTGTGTGTGAGAGAGAGAGAGAGAGAGAGAGAGAGAGAGAGAGAGAGAGAGAGAGAGAGAGAGAGAGAGAGAGAGAGAGAGAGAGAGAGAGAGAGAGAGAGAGAGAGAGAGAGAGAGAGTGTGTGTGTGTGTTATGCATGCACAGAATCTGATGGATGTTAATAGTGAATGGGGGTTATAAAGCTTGGCAAGTCTAGGCAGAGCTGTATGTTTATGTAAATGGTTTCTAGGTTTCTCTGTTTATCAAATATCTTTTTGTCTAAAGATAATCAGATAAACAGATATCCTGCTTCATCCAAAAGATTCGACTTGAAAGTATTTTTCTCCTTTGAAAGTGTGTGTTTCATACTTTTATGTACTTATTTGACTACTTAGCAAATAGTCTTTAAATGTATTAGCTAAGAATTGTGAAAAGTGTATTAAAGTAATAAAGCCTTCCTCTCAGTACTGACAAACATTGCAGAATTTATTTACTCTGACGAAGAATTACACATGAAGCTATTGTATTGTGGAAGGTTGTGGGAGTGATTTTAATTAAATCCTACAAAAATGTGTTTAAGCTGAAGGACTTAAATAAGTAAATAAATAAATCATCTCAAAAACAAATATTTTCAATGAATGAAGTCACTTATAATGAACAATTTGTGCACAATAGGCAATGCTCAAAAATTCTCCAATTATGGGTAGTTGTACTTCTCTCTCTCAGACTCCCCACTAATTTAGTCTGGTTAAACCCTGCCCCTGCAAGCTTGTTCATTTGCCTCTATTTTTGCATGCAACGCCCACATCTCAAAAGCAACCAATACATATAATGCAAGTCCCCACCCTACATTTTTTCTTCTTCGATAATCATTTACATTCAGATACACATCACAATATGGAAGAAACAATCTGTCATTGCTTCTGTTTCATTGCAATTTTTTAAATAGTCCTGTGATGTCATAAAAATGTTGCATTTTGTTTATTAAAGGGGGGGGGGGGTGAAACACTCAGTTTCAGTCAATCTCATGTTAATCTTGAGTACCTATAGAGTAATATTGCATCCATCATATCTCCAAAAAGTCTTTAGTTTTATTATATTTATAATAAAAAAGATAGGCTGTACCGAGCTAAATAATCACTAACCATAACTTGAGCACTGTGTTTTTAGAACACCATGCCATGCACGAGTTTTAGAACATTTGTGTGTCTACTCGTGGTTTATTGGGACTATGTGCCCGTGTTGGGACTGCTCCATCCTTGAGAACTAAACGATTAGCAAATCCGGCTTCGAACTGGGTCTTGTTTATAAAAAAAACCCTCCTCGAAATGCATGGAACAAACAAGAACACTTGCACAACTGTGTTGATGTTCTGGAAAAACAAACGTCATCCACTGGTCCCTTAACACTTGATTCTTTGGGAATCTGTGCAGTGTTGTCTTGCCTTGGCAACCGAAAACACACTTCTTTGGTGACATATTGACATATATTTCCGAGAGAAGTGCCCTTAGGACCGTATAAGTAAATTCCGGCGCATCTGACGTTATACAGTACACGCCCATACTCGAAACAAACTTTCTGAAACTGTGACAACCAGGAAGGAGTATTTTGAGAACAGAAATACTCAACTTAATTTTTGAAACTTTGTCCATGTTTAGGATGGGAATCCAACTCTTTAACAGTGTAAAAAACTAACTATGCATGAAATAGCATTTCACCCCCCCCCCTTTACTATAAAGTACAGTAGTTTTCAGAGAGGCATAGCATATACAAGGGTGCCGTAACTGGGGGAAGATTAGCACGATTCTAAGGGCTTTGGTCAGATCTACAGCACCCAACGGCACCTAAAAGAAAAAATGACGTTCCACACCCCAGTGGTCAGTTTGTGTGTAAATTACATTTTTAACCAAACTTTTCCACTTTGTGATGTTAATAGCAAGAAGTTACTATTGTACTAATTAAATATCTGCTTACCACCAAAGCTCGCTCTGTTTTGCTGTAGATCATTAAACTGTTATGCCGACTCAGAAGTCTGTCCGAAATCAGTATTGTAAGACTTTCCTGCACAAATGTTGCCTGCAATGTCAGCTACACCTGCACACACCCATATTTTCCTTAAGCACTTATTCAGCTTTGAACTCCTTATAACATGGTTGGTACTTGTTCAATGATGTGAATTTATCTTGTAATTTACTTTGTGATTCATTCTCATTGTTGCATGAGCAACACAGACCACTGACCTCAATGACGCTGGCAAGGCTGGTACGGGCCTGTCTATTTTTCTCATGTGATCCTCCATTTGCTCACCTGTTGCATCCATTCTGGAATTGAGTTTCAATTACCTACGTAATCAAGGACTTAATCATTTTCCCCTTAAATGTAATTTTTTTTTTTCTTAAAGTGTTCTAAATCTTTTAAATAGCCCACATGAAAGCTTTATATAAATGATCTTGAACTTTCATTTTAAGGTGGGTTTGGTATGTTTTGTTATACCTTAAAATATCCACATCAGGTGGACAGACATCACACACGTGATGCACCACATGCTTACTTAATCCAGCTACATGACCCTTGGGAACCGTAGTAATTGTATAGTTAACCTTTACTGTTAGGCAGTGTCACTCGATCACCTCAAAAAAGCAAATTTAGGTTAAATCTGATTTTGGAAAACTGAAATTTGTCAATCACGTTCTATACAAATTTCAGGTTCCTAGAGATGCATGCCACTGCACACAAGCACAATACCACATACTCAAGGTCATTTAAAGCGTTAGATTTCCGTTACAGGAATGTAAAATGTATGTATGAAATGACAAATGAGAGGCTTTAAAGAGACAGTTTGTGTACATGCAGTACTTTCACCTGAGAATATATGTGCGTGTGTGTGTTTGTGTGTGAACCATGTCTATGTATGAAGGATTAGAGAGGTTTGGAACAGATTAGTTAATTATAGACACCTGTCTGCTAAGCATGGAGACTGGAGTCAGGTGGATGAGCTTGAAGAGTGTGCTGGACTGCATTCAGCAAGGTGTAGCGCAGGTGGGGGGTTGACCGCAGATGTGAGACCATGTGCCTGTGCACATTCCTTGCATGTGGCCAGTCTCCAGAAAACGAGTGTTTCATCTGGTGGGACAGTAGCTAACCTGCAGCATTTTTTTTAATGATCTTCTCTATTTAGTCATCATTTTGTTACTCTAAAAAGGCAGGTCAGTTTTTGAGTATTTATAATAATATTTATAAAAGCGTGAGGTTGCATTTTTATGTAATAAATGGAGCTTTTAGTGATTTTAAAAGGCCTATGTTCTCATGCACTACTATTTGATTTGGTTAAATGGATTTGATGGTGTCGTGCTTAGTGATCAGGAGAAGCCCCTGCCAATTTCTGTCATGTTAGGCCAGAGTCTGCACAACTGAAAGGTCATCGCAGGTCAAGGATTTCCTTAAATAATGCAAAGTTAAGGTCATTCTGTCCCCCTAGAAAGAAACCAAACAGCCTGTACAAATGTATAACACAGTTTTGCCCTGGTCATATGCAAATAATCACAAACGTTATTGCTTGACAGCTCGCCTGAATCCGTATTTCTGCCACGCATCACTCTTTGATTCCGTTCATTCATTTCAGAGCTCATTAGAGAAGATCAGACCTGGGGAGTGAGATGGAGGGGTTGAAACAATGAGAGAGAGGACGAGGAGTCTCAAGCATATTAGCTGCTACTTACACATAATCTGGGTGTTAGACTCCTCCTTCATGTTGCCCCACGGAGCCCTGAGCAGCACCTCTTCGCCCATTTCACTAGTACCAATGGTGGGATAAGATCAATTCATAGACAGAGGATTGTGCATGGAATCTCCTATCCGTCAATTTGATTGATCTTGCAAGGAAGATATCCTGATTGCATTAGAGCTATCCCTTATTGCACTATCCACCGGGTGCTTTGAGTTTTTGATTGACATTTCTAATGACCTGGACCGGATTTCCTGATGGATAAACTGTAGATTGACAGTATTTCATTCAAAGGAATTTGTATAGGCCATGGCTGTCTAGCAAACTGCTGTGAAACTCTTCCCTTTTAGTAACTGCACTACAACAGGTAAGATGGATGATGAAAGTCTATTGCGATCTTGCTTGTCCTTGCAATGTTGTTATTTTTATTTTACAACTTTTGAATAGCATTATCCTGGTGAATTTTGTGCTTAATGGTTACGTTCGGTGTGCAATTTTTTTTTTTTTTTTTTTGCTAAACTTTTATAAGACTGTGTATGTTTACAGCAAATAAAAATCAACAGTCAATGTCTAGGAAATGCATGTAGAATATATATATATATATATATATATATATATGACTTTACTATTGTTGCTTGACCTTGATTGCCTTAAATTAACTCATTTCTAAAAAGATCCAAATGACATTCACTTAATCTCTAAATAACCTGTAGACAAACTCTTTTTGTCGCTCACTTCAGACTTTATGTCAGTGCGAACTAATATAGCCACACACACACAAATATATATATATATCCTATATACACACAGTTTGTTTTTATTTAATTTAGTGAACTAAGAATTACCATTCAAATCTTTTGGAATTTTTTGAATATTTTAAATTTAAGTCAAATGCTATTATTTACAGTGTGAAACCAAAACTCACACATTGACTTTTGCTACATACTCTCAACTGTTGTGCAACACAATTATTGCTCTGCTTGAATGGCTAAAATTAACCAATCGCCAGGCTTTTATCTCATTAGGACTGGAGCGGTGTGTAATGGACAGTCTTTGATTTCTTTGGCATTGTTCAGCTTTTTAATCTTGTTCAGATGAGCCAGATCCCAGCTACTTTGAGAGTTCACAATGTACACAAACAGTAGAAGACATTTTATGCCATTAGAGTAACTTGTGTGTTTCTTTTTTGATTTGGTAGATCTTTTTTAGTTACACTTCCTTACATCTTTCCATGCAGGTAATGATAATTGAATAGTACCGGTCCAAAGATGGCCTTTGAGATCAATCAATGGTCATCCTGTTGCAATATACTGTTGTTGCATGTATGCTCTTAAGCACTGCAAGCCTATGGTTATGTAACCAAACAAGGTTATCTCTGTTGGAGAGGAGGGCTGACTTCTTAGAGCCTTTTAATCCAGACCAGAGTAAAGCTAAACATCTCTCGTGTTAAGTGACATGACATGACCACCTGACGTAGTTGGTTTTCAGATGGTAGTCAACAGTAAATGTGATGAAACAATGACAGGCATGTTATTCTTATTCCCAGAAAACCCAGTACAGCTGATGTGATACCCTCACTTCTCAAAATCCTCAAATCAGTGAAAACTGCCAATTACATAATTGTCCAAAATATGTCACAGTGTAGCATCAATATGTCACAGTGTAGCATCATATAGCATCATATAGAACGCTATATGACAAAACCGCGCTATACTACGCACATGGCATCTGTTTTCGTTAATATAACACACGGTGTGATGGTTAGGTTTAGGTGTGGGGTAGGGTAGTCTCATATTACGCTAAAGGATTTATGATGACTTTATGGTTCGCGTGTTATATTAACGATAAAGGGTGGCATGTGCGTAGTATAGCGCCGTTTTGTCATATTGCGTTCTATGTGACGCTAAAGGATGAGAATGGGCTGAACATTATATTTGTATTTGCATTCCAGTCTGTGGTTCATGGACATCGATTGCATCTGTACAATACGTGCAGTTGTAAGATGTCCAAAACGAAATGTAAGATATGAACGCAAGATATATTACACAGCATTGCCATTCTGTGTCAATGTGTCTGCAGCACATCTCATACACAAACATATTTTGGTCCCACAAACTGACACCAACAACAATTTGTATCTATGACAATGAATAAATTTAGCTTCAAGTGATAATTTCATGAAGGACTTGATTTCACAAGTGTAGCTCACACTGTGTACTAGACCGTCTTGATTAGATCATTTATATTGACATACTTTACTGTCTGCTCCACTTCTTCCGTCTACCAGTGCCAACAAAATGCAGAAGCAAGTGGAGATCAGAATGCATGAGAATCATTTGGACCCTCCTACAACACCTGATGAGCCCATGTGTGGAGGCTTATGTGACAAACTCAGGAAGAACATGCTACTTACGCTCACAATCCTTGGCAAGTCACTTTAGCATTTTTGTTATTTTAACAATTTGCTAATGGAAAAAAAAACACTTGTATACTGTTTGTGGTAAAATATGCATGGATATGACCATTATAAATACTGGAAAGCTTTCAAATGCAATATGGCCATGCAGCCATCCATTTATTAGACTCAGTTTTTTATGTTAAAACACTATTGCTCCATGATACTCTTCAGACAATACGTTTAATAGATTTGGATTAACACATTATACAGCAGTTAATAGGTGGTTTGCAGTCACATGATTGTGTTGACGCGCGGAATGCAGATGGAGGGCAAGGAGTGAAGAGCGCAATGGACGAGATGGAGGAAAATCCGTACTGTACTACTTTAGACGCGATTACAAGAGAAATATATCAACAGAAAATCGAAACATACATGTTGGACGTGATCCTTACGTTATGAAGAGGAGCGATTTTCAACTGAATTGAGAGATTTTCCTGCCATCGAGGCTGTAGATATCAGCAACTAACTCGTCTTACAGACATACTTTGACTTTACAAAGTTCGGAAACTGGTACATTACACGAACAGCCACAAAAGTGTATTTAAACACCTGAATAATGTAATTATAAGCCACATAAATAATGTATTAACTCACATTTGACGAAGTGATCACTGCACACACACACAGGCATTTGAGCCCGTTCTCATCCCAAAGCGCCATATAGGACGCTTTTGCAAAAGCGTAAATATCCAACGCACATGGCACCCTTTAACGTGAAATGAGACGCTTCGGTTAATGGTTAAGTTTAGGTATGGTGTGGGGTAAGGGTTAGACCACTAGGGGGCGCCATCAGCCCAAATATATCTGCGTCTCATTAGACGTTAAAGGGTGCCATGTGCGTTGGATATTTACGCTTTTGCAAAAGCGTCCTATATGGCGCTTTGGGATGAGAACGCGTTGGACATTTTCCCATTCGGCTCCTCCCGACCGCAGACGTAGGTTTGCAAGGCATTTTTCCCGGTGTTTTTCTGTCAATTTCTTATATTTTCCCCCCTTATGAACAACAACTTTGGGCACACGATAAAAACTCCTCGTGGTTTGATCGATTTGAGCAACCAAATGACACAAAACATAGGCATTTTGAGTGTGTTATAGTGCTTCCTAATGTAGAAAATCACTTCCTGCCCTCCATCTGCTTTTCGCGCCATGGCAACGCAGTGGCGTGACGTCACGTGAAAACAAGCTAATTTTTGTTAAACAATATTTTTTTTGTTTTCCCATAGGGCAACACATTCTCATCCCAAGACGTCATCTAACTGACGCTTTTGACCATACATCAACATCTGACGTTAGATGACGCTATCACTTTACCTTTAGTGTCAGTAAGATGAAGTGGGTAGGTTTAGGTCTGGGGTCGGGTTAGGGTTAGATAGCATCATCTAACTGACGTTAAAGGATGCCCTTAAACGTCGGATGTTGACGTATGGTCAAAAGCGTCAGTTAGATGACGTCTTGGGAAGAGAACGGGATGCATAGGAATATATAGACATCCTTAAAACAAGATGCATTTTCTTGAGAAGAAAATGGGATACGAATAAACCCAATTCAAGACATATTCATTGAAAATTTATCAAATAAATCAAGCCTGATTAAGAAATAAATTTGGTTACACTTTATTTTAAGGTGTCATTGTTACAGTGTGATTATATATCTAAGTATTCAGTAATATTAAGCAACTACATGTACTTACTACATGGTTAGGGTAGGATTATGATTTGGTTGAGGGTTAGTTGCATGTACCTGTAATTATGCATAATTTACTGTTATTACTATGGTAAGTACATGTAAAATAGATAACAAGGACACTGTAAAATAAAGTGTTACCAAATTAATTTATTTTTTGTAATGCAGGCCTTTGTTCCACTTGTATATATGTTTAGGGCCAGCCATCACTCATTATGTAGTTTTAAGGCTTGACGTAGCATGTGCACCAGAAGAAATAGACCAAAGTGTGTTAATTAATGATTGCAGACATCAGTGTTTTAAAATGCAAACTGAACAGCTATTCAAGCTATGTTACAATTACTTTACACTGACTTTCTGACCTATGAAAGTCTATGCCATGCTTATTAAGAGGAACTTTGCCATGGTTTTGTTGTTGTTTGTATGTGACATTCATTAATCAAAGTCCACTGAGTGGCTGAAAGGTTTATCTTGGATAAAAAAAAAATCTCAGAATCTTAATCAATGGTACTTTTATCAGCGTTCAAGAAACAATTGTGTTCTGATATTGTTAAACTTTGCAAGAGGTTCAATATTATTTCTCAATGAAATGTATAATTTCTGTACCCTGATGTTCACTGTGATTTTCTGTGTCTACTTCAGGTGTGATAGCAGGTTCAGTAGCTGGTATGCTACTGCGGTACGCATCACCACTCCCCCCTGATGTCATTATGGTAATTGCCTTCCCGGGTGACATTCTCATGAGGATGTTAAAAATGGTGATTTTGCCTCTGATCATCTCAAGTTTGATCACAGGTACTGTTATACGCTTTGCTGAACACCTCCAACAATGCCATCATTCTAAAAAAAAAATAATCTTTTTTTTTGCTAAGTATAATATAGCTTAATCCGCAATGTGATATTGGTATATTGACCATTAATATACGTATGTATCTCAAAGGCCATCAGAAATGAATTCGGACACAGAAATAACCTGCATGCAATGACTTTGGGGTCAAAGTAATAACCACAATGTTATGGCTTTTATAATAGCTTTTACAATTTGAAATATGGAATAGCTACAGAAGTGGTGATTTTGAAATGGCTGTCTTTTTTTTCCCCCTTTCAACTTTCTTTGTAATTCAGTATAAGATAAAATAAAATAAAAAGCATGCCTAGTAAATTTAGGGCGGATCAGTTTTAGTAGTATGTGAGCAGAACATGTTTAAACATGTTAGCAAAAAGAAAAAGAAAAAAGTCAATTCAATTTGTTTTTACTCATTCACTAATCACATAGAATAATTATAAATCTGATAAACTTTTGTCTATAACTTTTAGTAAAAGTGCCTTGTGAAAAAGCAACTAGTATTACTAATGATAGCTAAATAAATGTATTTATTTTGTAGGATTAGCAGGGTTGGATGCCAAGTCCAGTGGTCGTTTGGGCACAAGAGCCATGGTGTACTACATGTCTACCACCGTCATTGCAGCTGTGCTTGGGGTGATCTTGGTGCTCCTCATCCACCCCGGTAACCCCAAACTGAAGGCAAACCTGGGCGAAGGGAAAAAGAATGACGAAGTGTCCAGTTTAGATGCCTTGTTTGATCTCATCAGAAATCTGTTTCCAGAAAATCTTGTTCAGGCTTGTTTCCAGCAGGTGTGTGTATCCAATGTGCTTTTGACTTTTTATTATTTTATTAATTTAATACTTTATTTTTGTCGATCTTTATTTTTGATGGGGACTGAAATATTAATAATAAACAGTTCTTCAATCTCTTTCTGTAGATCCAGACTGTTACTAACAAAGTAGAAGTAACTCCTCCTCCAGTTCCAAATCGATTTGGACGAAATTCTACCAAGGGTGCAGCAAAATATGTGATCAAGAAGTCTCTTCAATTCAAGAGCGGCATGAATGTGTTAGGTATCAGATGGCTTTGATTCCATGATACATGCATGAAAGTGTCGTTTGTATAATAGTCATGTACTTCACTTTAACATGGTGGCATTGTGTGTTTCTCTAGGTATCATTGGGTTCTTTGTGGCATTCGGCGTTTGCATGGGAAAGATGGGAGAAAAGGCCAAGCTGATGCTGGATTTCTTCAACGTTCTCAACGAGATCGTTATGAAGCTTGTCGGCATGATTATGTGGTCAGCTTTTTATGATTATTAAAGTTTACATGATGTCCATTTTCTACATTTAGTAGTCCATTTGACTGATTTATTAACTGACATATATAAATGTTATGCTCACCAAGGCTGCATTTATATGATAAAAAATACTGTAAAACAATGATATTGTGAAATATTATTAACATTTTTTTTTTAAAAGTGTTTTCTATTTTAATATATTTTAAAATGTAATGTATTTCTGTTATGGTAGAGCTGAATTTGCAGCATCAGTCATCAGTGTCACATGATCCATCAGAAATCATTTTAATATGCTGCTCAAAAAACATTTCTTATTATTATCAATGTCAAAAACAGTTGCTAATAAGTTCAAAAGAACAGCATTTATTTAAAGCAGATTTTGTTTTGCTACATTATGTAAATGTCTTTATTGTCACATTTGTTCAGTAGTGCTTTAATAGTGTTTAATTGAATGCGTCCTTGCTGAATAAAAGTATTTTTGATAAATCTTACTGAACAGTAGTGTTAACCTTTAACTCTTTTGAATTGACTTTCTGTCTCAGTTTGTTTCCTGCCATTCAATTACTGATTAATCTGCTGATTAGGCTCTTGACTTTGCTGCACGTCTCTGTTTTGTAACAGGTATTCCCCCGTTGGTATTGCGTGTCTGATCTGTGGGAAGATTATATCGATTAATGATCTGGAGGTGGTGGCCAAGCAGCTTGGAATGTACATGATCACTGTCATCGTCGGACTTTTCATTCACGGAGCCATTTTCCTTCCCTTAATATATTTTGTTTTTGTTCGGAAAAACCCATATACATTCTTCATGGGAATTTTCCAGGCCTGGGTCACCGCTTTAGGAACAGCTTCTAGGTAAATAATTTAACTTTTCCTCGAGTTGTCCCATGGAATTTTTAGACACATCGAGTTAAGAGAGGGAAGGCTATTGTTTCATTTGGCATCTTCAGAAATTGAATAACTCTTGAAATCTTGATATGCCTCTTTTGTAGTGCTGGGACATTACCTGTCACTTTCCGCTGTCTGGAGGAAAATCTCGGCATTGACAAGAGAGTCACTCGATTTGTATTACCTGTTGGAGCAACGATCAACATGGACGGTACAGCGCTTTATGAGGCAGTGGCGGCCATCTTTATTGCCCAGATGAATGGAATAGAACTTGATCCTGGTCAGATAGTGACAGTCAGGTAAGACCAAACGTCTAGACACAGAAATACATGTAAATTTGTGCCTTACACTATAGACCAATTTCGAGCTGACGTCACAGTTATGCCACGGTACGTGTTAGCTGGAGGCAAAACAAAGGGAAAACTGGAGGCGACCAATACAAACCAGCACAGATTCGGCTACATAATAAGGAGCTTAAATTATTATTATTATTAAATCTCATCTTGTTGTGTTCTTTTTTTTTTCTCGAAAATATTCACTTCATTAAAATTGTACTGTGATGTCACTCTTTACATTGTCTTCTTCTTGGCGCTGGCTAGGCAGAACTGTGGATCATATCCACACAAGTCTTGCACATGACCATTCAGCACATATTTACAGGCATCTAAAGATTTATATGCCCTCAGTTTCTTTTCTCGCTCTGTTTCTCTATCAGGTAATGTTATGTTTAGAGGTCAGGCCACTCAACCGGAGGTAGCGTTAACGTTAATGTTTCGTTCGTTGAAATTAGCTTTTGCAAATAACAATCGTGGCCCTGGACAGTGAGTGACCTTGCACATTAAGAAAAAATTGGATTTTGTCCAGTCATTGTTAAAAACAAGCTAACAAAAATAGCAAACTAACGTTAGGGAAGCAGCCAGAGGGATCGTTCTACCACCACCTAAGCTCCGCCCACAAAAAACTTCAGCATGTTTACTAACTGAAAAGGGGTCTATTATTCACTGGTGGCTAAGTAAAATAATTCAATCATGGTTTTCCCATCCTCATGTTGTTCCAAACCTGTTTACCACCTTTTTGTCTGTGGAACGAAAACAGAAGATTCTTGCTATACAACATTCTTAGTGATCACGTCTACAAGCTTTTAAAATTACATCTAAAAAGCATTATAAAGGTAGTCCATTTGAATTGTGAGCTATGTTATTTACATTCACATCATTAAGAATGATAGAACAATCTGATTTGTAAATCCAAGCAACTGGTTCATTGAAAAGAATCAGCTCAAAATAGTAATTCCTTTTATGAGTTGGACTGATTCAGTTCTTGAGAACTCTTTCTGGTTCCTGAGAACTTGATCTGGTAACAGCACTTTAAGGGATAGTTCACTTTGAAATTAAGTTTTGGTATGTTTAGCTTACCTCAAGGGCATCGAAGATGTAGGTGTTGGCAGTAGTTTCAATTGTGATATTTTTAGGTCAAACCGTTCGTGTCTATCAGTCATATAATGGAGGTATATGGCCACCACCTCAAAGAGCATGCACAGAGAAGTCCAAATTAAACAAGATTTACTGACTCCTAAATGTAAGTACACATTGATGGCTGAAGACACGAAACGAGCGGCTTGTGTGAGAAACGAACAGTATTTAAATCGCTTTTACCTCTTGTAACCACAGCCACGTCCAAGTGATCTTTGTGCGCGCTTTGCGCTTTGTGGCTGTCGTAGCAATAGCTATTTGAAGATTCTTTGAAACTTCTCTTGAGATCCGCAGAAAAGACAAATCACATACAGATCATGATTTTGGATTGACATGAAGGTGAATAAATATTGACAGAATTAGATTTTTAGGACAATTATTCCTTTAGTGCTCTGCATGCTACTTTTTTTTAAACAAATATTGATAAAATCACAAGAATGAGATGCATTATCCTTAAAGTTTGCAACTAATCAAATGAAAAATGTATGTTTTGTTTGTAGCCTTACAGCGACTCTCGCTAGCGTAGGAGCAGCCAGTATTCCCAGTGCTGGTCTGGTGACGATGCTTCTGATCTTGACAGCTGTGGGACTACCGACTCAAGACATCAGTTTACTGGTAGCAGTCGACTGGTTACTGTAAGTTAAATCAATCTCTTGCCCTGCTGATTTAGTGGTACTCAAATTTTAGCTCAAGATCAAAAAGTATCTCCAGTTCAAGATTTAGTGTCATGGCATATTTAACCATTTGCTTTGCATGTTGATACAAGCCCTATCGGCATTTGGAGTCGTTTAGCCTGGAGAGATGTGGTACCTTTCTTTGTTTCCTCCTGCTTTTTCAAACAGGGACCGTTTCCGAACATCAGTCAATGTCGTTGGTGACTCGTATGGGGCGGGAATCGTGTACCACCTCTCCAAAGATGAGCTCGACCTATTTGATGCACAGCAAAGGCCAGATGACTTTGAGATGGCCAAGACACAATCTTTTTTTGAGAATAACACTAACCACGGAGTATATACATCTCACAACTCCTATCAGCCGGTCCAGATAGATGACTGCAAGGTACATTTCACTCTCACAGACATAGAAACCTGTATGTAGATGCTTTTATTTCTTTCCCCAACATTGTATTTATCATTGTGATTTTTTTTTTTTGTACACTTTTGTATTTTTTGATCATTCCTGATGTGAAGGCATAAGAAATGAAACAAAACAATAGAATAAATAAATACGGTTTATTTATTTGTTCTGGTTCTGGTGAAATAGCAGTTTTTGTGCAAGCTTTGTACTGTATATCCTTATCAGTATTTGGATATGATCTATTTTGACAATGCGTGTATACAGTTATGCATTTCAATTTTTGTATTGTACTAATGCCAATCTGCCTTTGGCTGTTCTCATCTCATTTTTACCATCTACATTTTGAGATGACAAAGGCTGCTATTTCATTCTTTCAAGCTGAACGTTTTTAAGCTTGACAGAAAAGTGATTGTTTTCCATCAGTAAGAAAACTGCAGTGTTTGCCTCTTTTTCACTGCACTTGAGTAGCCATTTTGACCCTGTGTTTCAAAAATGCATAGGTCTGTGTGGTAGCACGCGTGGTACTTTTAGAAGATTAGCTTTGGGCAGAGATTCACTGCAACAAGGAAAAAAAAAAAGCAAAGTTTGTTTATACAAAATATAATAATTCAAATGATTTTCTCTATCTGTATTCAGTCTTTCAGCATTCTGTAAGGAATCCCGCTGCAGCTAATTATTATCTGTCTTGTGGTGGGTACATTTCTGTGAATTTGGATATAAATCATACTGTTAAATATATCAGACTCTCTGCTCCAAACCATAAACAGTTTAGTTAGCACCGGTTAATGCATTTTGACTGTGCCTTGGTCCAACAGTTAGTTGTCCCTGATAATTGCTTTCAGGTAACCTTGGCCTCAAATGGTTCCCCTGCGGAGTTCTCACTTGTTGAGGAGGAACCATGGATACGCGAGTAACACAGCACACAGATCCAGCTCCGCCTTATCCTGAGTCCCACAAGCTTATCCTTTCTGGTGAAAACCAAATGCTAATTTTATACATATAAATAAACAATCAGAAGTTACCACAGAACTTTTCACATGCACAAGCACTGACTTTTGTGTGACAATCTCAGTTAATTTGATTCACAAAGGGAAGAGAATGTATAGCTCGAAAGTAGCTGGTGCTCGTAGTGGTTCAGCTGGTTCAGCCTCATACATTATGTTTCACACTCAAGGATTTTGACAGTTCTATGCCTTGGGTTTGGCGATCGATCTGAAACCTGCTGCCTTAAGGCTACCACATAGACGGATCACAATGGGTTGTCCAGCCTGGGACCCCTGACTGACCCTAGAGCACTACTAGTGGCAGGAGGAGAGAAGTGCAGTTTGTTTGCTGAAGATACCTTTGACTGGCTTGGCTTGGCTTAGGTGGATTAACCCTTGGTGGCGGCACTCCAGATCAGCCTCTTATAAGAGCTTACCAATGTACTTAGAGGTTCAGAAATAGTGGTTTGCCTCTAAATGCTGCCACTTATTTTTAGATGCCACCCGACGTAAATGCCACGTCAACAATTACAGAGCGATTAGACATAAAGTTGAGTTGATTGGTGTTATCTGAAAGGAATGGTGGCTTTAATATCCTACATAGTGGACTGCATAAAAAGATATTCAGATATTTATGTGTGTTTTTGTTGGAGGGAAGGGACTTGCATGTGTGTAGGTTTTGTACGTATCTGTGTGCTTTGTTAAGTTTTCAATTTATTTATGTTATTTATTTGCTAAGTTGCAATCTTGCCTTGAAGACATCAACTGCAAACGGTGCAGCCAGAAGACTTTATGACAATAATATCAAATGCAATCCCTTTTTCTTGGATCGTAGATCATTAATAGTGTTTGATTCTCTGAGGAGCCATTTTGGATACTCAGACATTACGTCCAGTTGAATGGATTCTATATATGTGCTGATAATAGAGGCTCTTATGTTGGTCGGTACTCAGGTTGGTAGCATGTTGTGAGATGACAGAATTGAGATTTATCATTAAATCTGCACCATTTAATTTAGTAGAGTTTTTAATTATTGTAGCAACACAATAAACATTCCTCTGTCGCACCAGAATCTTAAAATGTTCTCATTAAAGTGCCTCCTTGCACTTTCTGTAAATAAATAAATACACATATATATGCTGTCATATTTTAGATATATTTTTCATGCAAACTGAAGTGTGGTATTTATTTCAACTCTTTTTTGTCTGTTGTTTTGTAAAACAACAGCAATTCATGTATTCACTTGAGTATATTATTTTACTTGGTAGATTAGCGTGTAACAGGTTGTCTTAGTTATCACTATACCGTATACACCACTTGGAACAGGTGGCTGTGAAACACTGAATGTATGTATGGAATGTAAGCATATTTTTCACTGTTATTTTGTCTCAAAATTTGTGTATTGTTAAACATTTTGTTAGGGATAATGGCACTAGGGGAAAAAGTCAAATTACTAATAATTATTAACCAGGCTTGCTACAGATTTGACAGTCCTGTAGAGTGCAGAAAAATAGATACGGGATCTGTAATATAAATGTGAGCACTGTTGGAATATCTGTTTGGGCAGGGCCTGACACATCTAGTACTGTGATGTTTGGTATAAATGTGACTATTTTTATTTGTGCAACTCTGTTTGGTTACAAAGACATTGTATACCTTTGTCTACCAAACTGTCCACTTTTTAAATTTGTCTTTTTCCTCTATTTTTCTATTAAATACCTATAACAAATTGTAAATAAAGGCAATGCTTCTTGTCTCAAAGTGTTTCTGGTTTTTCTTCAATTTTCAAGTCTTTAGGCAATGGGTGTCAAATTTATTTGATTAAAATCTGTAGATTTATTGAAAAACATGTGCTCAGGGAGCTGGCAAAATATGTCTTTATGGGTAATTTAAAAAAAAATGCAAGATATACAATTGCCTCATTGGAATACAAACTGGATATGGTATCTCTATTTATAAAAGACAGGCCAATGTTTAACATTCAAAAAATGCATCATTTCTCACACAGTACATAGTACTTACCAACAGATGAAAACCAGTATAAAATGTTTTCTCACCATATCATTCTTAATCGTCAATCAATAAGAGATAATACACATTTTCTATTATTGAACTAATACTTTAAAAAGGAAAAAAAAAAAATGAAATGTAAAAAAAAACAATTCTGAAGCAACAAAATGTTGCACTATTTTTTGAAAAAAAAAAAAAATCAGTGCAAATAAAAGCGACAGCAGAATTTTCAAACCTACACAGTCTCAACTTTTTTTTACTATTTAAAGATACTTTTTGGCATTTGGCATACTGTCTATTAATATTATTATTTTGATCTATTTCGAGAGCTTTATTTAAGGCTCAGGCTCTGGCAATGTTAGCCATTTCTCTCCATGGGCTTAATCTGTGTTACATTAAATACTCTTTCTCATGCTCATCCAGACAGGTAGCTGTAATGTCCTCTGTTTTACCATTCAGGGTCGTAACACTCATCAGTGCCACTATCTCCTGCTCTTTCTCTGACAATGGCAGTGTTTCTGTTTTACTGTAGTCTTTGTTGTGGTCCTCAGTCGTGATGTTTGTGCTCCGTCTCGGTCCATACCACCTAAGTAAGGAGTTACAGTAAACTAAAGCCAGGCTTCAATGTCTGATAATTGTAATGAATTTACTGAAGAAGAAAAAAATCTAATAAGAAAACTTACTTGTCTCTAGTGGCAATAGCAGCAAGTATGCATACAATGGCTCCAATAACCACACAGAATGCAAAGATTATCAGCCAAGCTGCAAAGGAGAGTAACATTGTAAATTGACAGATTTACATTATGTCAGTTGAATAAAAAGTGAAGAAACTGATGGCAACTGCAGTGCTTTCACATGAACTTACTGGATGGTCCCTCCCCTTGTCTAGGTGAATGATGAAGGTTTCGACCTTGACCTGCATTGAAGAGACATTAGTAAAGAGACATGATAACAAAATATTATGTATTACAAAATTGACCAACATATTTAGGCATCTAAGTTATGTACCACTTGATGATATTAAACAATAATGTCAATTAAAATGCTTATTTATGTAATGATAATTTATGGTCAAACTAAATGTGCAAAGATGGATCTAAATACGAAAAGATGGATCTAAATCTTAAATCTGAATCCAAACCTTATTTTGATGGTCCCTTTTGAACATTCTGTTAACTTTAAGTGACTAACTTATTGTGAGACTAACTTATTGTGTTAAGTAACTTTGGAAGTATATGTCAACCTAGTCTACTAAAACTCGACATGCAGGGCGTGGGTGATTGGTTGCTCTGTAGATTGATTGATTGACTGACTGACTGACTGACTGATTGATTGATTGATTGGTTTATTGATTGATTGACTGATTGATTGATTGGTTAGTTTATTGATTGATTGATTGATAGATACTCTGAGGCAGAAACATGTTGGCCGAATATATACGACAATTCACCATGACGTCACAGCAATAATAGACCTTCTTCCGGGTGGCAAAAGCCGAAGCGTCCCTATGGCAACACTAGTAAATTGCTTGGAGGGAGACACACCGTCGGCAGTAATCTAATCTACATTTCAACAGTTGATTCAAAAACAGACGTGGTGGAAATTCAGACATAGTTAACATGATCATTAAAGCTTAGATTATTTGATCTAGAGACGTGCACTCCCAACGCACTAGACCGCGGCGCGGGACTAGATCTGATGGCCGAGTGCGAGCACGGGCACTCGGGCAGTAATGCATTCACTCTGTGTGTGTGGATTGCGGGAGAATAAAACGATTCGCCGGACTCCCGCAAACTAGAAATATCTATGAATAAAAACTAATACATTTTTATTCATCTGTTGCAGAAAAGCAACACGAACAACTAAAACAAAATAGAAATGATTAACATGGCAGAGGATGTTTGTATAACATGACTGCAGCGATGAGCGATGTAGGATTTAGACATGTGTGGATTTATTGAACGCAATGGCCAATCAGAAGCATTTACGATAGACTCACCGCTCAAAACTGACTTTTTGTTCAGTGCTGAATTCTACATGCTGGCAAATCCTCTAATTATAACAAACAACTGTATTATGGAAGATTTATTGTGGAGTCAGCTTCATTGATAATAACAGAGATGTGTGATCGCGATGAACTGATGTCAGCTTTTTTAGGAGCGCGCATTCAGTCATGCCAAACCATGCACGCAACCTGCTTGTTTTTATGTCATAATAACAGTGGTTTGTGTGTTAATGCTTTAATAACAAATAGTTTATCGGGAGCACTTATGCTGATGTGTATAATGGTGACATGTAGGCTAACTTGAAAGTATTTGGAGGTACAGAAAAAAAGTCTATTTGTGGGCGGCAGCGGGACAAAACATGCACTAGTTTTGAGGACGTCCACTCGCTTTAAGCACCTCACCCACAGGTTCCGCTTGATAGATTTACTTTTTTCTTAAGAAAAAAAGATCTGGCGGCGCAACCTCCAACACAACACGATTTCGCCATCGTTTCCACTTTGATCAACAACAATGATTTTAAATATGTAACTGTTCAGTTGCCGGCTGGATCTCTTCAGTTAGTCAATAGAAGCCGCTCGCGTTCTGCCACCCGGAAGTATCGCGGTGCCTATTGTTTACAAACATTCTGAAATGCCCTGTAAGAGGGCTATGTGGTGTGGATTTTGTGAGGACATTTACCTTTAGAACTGGTGTTCAATTTTGTAGCCACTTTTGGAACCTCAAGTGTATCTTGTGTTGATTTTTTCTCATCAGCCTCTGTGGTGATCGGCCTTACTGTGAATTGACTAGGCTCAGGCTTTGATGCTGATCCACTCCCCTCTGTATCAGGGAACAAGACACTGGGGACAACAGAGGATGAGCTCTTCTCAAAACTGGGCTTGTTTGCAGGGCCTTTAGTGTCCAAGGTAGGAACAGTAGAAGGTTTCATGTCCACATCAGGAAAAACTGTTTTGGGGACCTCCATGCCATCCAGAGGGGAAGTTTCTCTTTTTACTCTTCCCATTATCTCCTCCAAATATACCAGAAAACCCTCCGTCTTGACCTCTTTAAGAATGTCTTCATGTGGCTTTTCATCTTTGCAAGAAATTACATAACATATTAGTCAAACAGCTTAAATATTTAAGTGACACAGCAGTGTTTTGCATTGCTGTGCTTACACCAAAACAAAATAGAAGATCAGATGGTCGTGTTTTAATGTTAAACTATGCAGATACTTTGCTATGTTAGAGTGAATGGTCAAACAACAAACAATAATGAACAAGTATTTACATCCTAAGTATTCAAGTCAAATCAGCAACTTTTTTGCTCCTCCTTCATTGTGGTACTGCAGGTGCGTAAAAATGTCTGAGGTCACAGAGATATGACTAATGTTCTGGATTAGGTGTGGTTGGATTATGAACAATGAAGTGTATGTCTGCTGCATGTCTTGCTTCTTCACAACACACACCCCTCAACTCAAAAGGTAAAGCTAATACACCAAGTCTAAGCAAAATCATTCAAAATGTCTTCAATAAAGTACAGTACATAAACTAAATCGAGGCACGGCACAAAATAAGAAAGGGAACTTACTTTCTGTGGCTGTGATTCCTTTGGTTGCACCTTCAGAGTTACTTGTTTTAACAGTATATTCACAGTTTGATGAATCTTTTAAAAGAGAAGGAAAACGAAAAGTCAACAAGATTTATGTTTTTATATTGTTTCTCAAGACACTCCATTCTCTTTACACTCACCTGATGGGTTAAAACAGTAAACATCAGAAAGATATTCTGCTGCTTTATGGTGGAAGGTGACCTCCATGGAACTGGAGTCACAGTTTGGAGCATTAACGTGTGGGAGGAACGTGACATTTTGACTATCAATCCAGCCGTATCTAAACAAAGGTGTGGGGTTCATTAAAAAAAAATAAAAAAAATTAAGTACTGCCATTAAGCAAAATCAAAATTATGTCGCAACATGTTATCTAGCTCTAGGCTAAGGCTATTGTACTCTTTTCTTTACCTGCATGTTCTCAAGCCTTTTTGGTAAGCTTCAATGATCTGTTCCTGTGTTGCCAGTTTGTAATCTAAACTCTGACACAATTCCAAAGCCTGTTGGAAAGTCAGAGAGTAACTGCTGCTCCCCTCAACATGGAGAACACCAGCAAAGCTGCATCTGCCACTGTGTCCTGTCGAAAGAGAAACTAATGTAAATATTCAAAGGCCGAAATCTTTATTTATGTATAAATTGTTTCCCGTGTATAATCACACTAATGACTAGCTTGTAAATGAGGGCCAAATGTAGGCTCTGTGCGTAATGGATGAACAATTTAGCATTAGGTATCATTAGATGAATCTCTTAATGACTCATTGCGTGTGCAGACATGAGCACATCTGTAACATCTAGACCATCTGCAAGCCTTCGACTTTGTAAAAGACCTCTCGTTTGTAATTCAAAATGTTTAGACCAGCAAGTGATTTTAAAGAAATCAATCATATAGGCCTGTAGTGTGCAGAAGAGGGAATAAGTAAACACTAGGTATATTACTTGATGGTTCAAGATTGCTGTATGAGCTTGCCAAAAATCGTCAAGATCATTCATCATTACAAATCACACTGGTTCTAATAAACTATACACTGATGACACATATTAAATCGTAGGCTACTACGCAAGTTAGTATAGAAGTATAACACGTCATTATTGTGCTTTTTATGTGTGCAGAAATAAAAAAGAGGAAGCGAGAGAGAACATGTGGTTATGGCAAGGGAAAAGAGGCCGACTTTGCGTGCCAATTTTGTAAATGGAGCTTGAGGTAAGTAGTATTAATTTTTAGCACCATGTCAGGTTGATCAATACTCCATTTTCTGTTGCATTTTTATTGGCTGGTCAGTAGACGTTGGTCGTAGCAGTAAACACTGTGAGACGATCACTGTCATCTTTGGTCGCAAGACCTTGACAACAGACGTCTTTGTACCTCACTGTACTACTTAGGAGTCCTAAGTTAGGACCACCGTTGTTGAGTAGTCACGGCCACAGAAATGACCACGATTGGTCATCTTTCGTCTGGGAAAGCCCAAAATCAATGTATAAAATAGGAGGAGATTACTGAACTCCTGAGTAAAGGAGATTATGTTATTATATAGTGTTATATGTGTACAATAAACTTAACAATCCTGGGGCTGTATTACAGATACATCATTACTCTGGAATGCTATCTTATCTTTAGGAATCATATCTTTATCTTTAACCATAGCGGTATCAGTTAAAAATTATCAGATCTTAATTTCATTCCAAAGATATGAAGTTTCTTTAATACAACCAGGGCCGTTTTCCTAAACTCACAACATCTGACATTTATCTACAAAGAATATCGTCAATGCATTAAAATCGTAAATATATCATTATCTTGCCACTGTATGCGCCTTGACCAAGACTATGCCAGAGGCACCTCTGCGATCAATAAGTAACACATTTGCCATCACTCACCCTGAACCGGGGCTGCCTGAAGTGCTGGTGATCCAGTAGCTAGTACCACAAGTAACAAAGTCCACATGGTCCGTGCTGTGGCATGTGCTAGATGAAGGGAAGTATACCTGTTTTTTGGCTCTGAACTGGTTTGGTTCTTACAACGCTTAGATTCTCCTTTGTGATTTTCTGAACTCTCTAGAAATGTATCTCACCTCTTTTATATGCTTAGACAAAGGTATGCTACTTGGTGAGTAATGATGGGTGGTGCTGTAAAGAACACACCTTCACTATTGTCTCTCACACCCCCCCCCCCCCCCCTCTATCTCTCTCTCTCTGCGTAGGCTATGTGCTGCTAGCATTAGCTTACCAGACATCTCAAAACTGTGTAGTAGGCACTATTTTGTACTGGACTATCTGCAGTTTCTATGATCTAAATCAAATTATTAATATGGTCAAAGTGCGTCTTCATTCATGTATATTTAAAAAAAAAAAAAACATCAACAATTACGGTAATCAATTTCTGTAATTACATCTATACATACACAGTTGACCTTACATCTCCTGACCCTAACACAAACCTGTCCCTAGCCTTACTCCACATCAGCAGCAAGTGTTTTGCAACATGAACAACATGATTTATAAAGTTTTTCATATAAAGACACCTATAAATTGGGACTAACTTAAATGCATGTCTGGATAAATGTGTCCTGTGCTTCTTCTCAAAATGAAAAGGTTGAGCAGTAGGAGTAAATAAGCTGAGTGTTAAGTCACTGCAAACATTACGTGGTGTGGCTGACTCAGGTGTGTGAAAAATCACCTCGCCCATGTGTGCTGATACATGTTCACTTCCTGCTTCAAATGCGGGAAGAAAGTAAAAGGGACTGAAGGTGGCTCATAGTAGGTTATCACGGGTCAGATCACTGCCGTTTTGGTTTTCATGTTGGAAATTGTGGATTTTAAATGGAATTTAAGAAACTACTGTATACCGGGTATCTGACAATATTTCCTTGACATTTTATCAAGGACTGTAACAAGCATCAGCATGTGTTTAAATGCAAATTCTAAAGAAACTAGTGACAAAAAGGAGATTTTTTTTTATTCCAGGAAATGAAATAATTGAGTAATCATTTGAGAAGACAATGAGCTGCATAATTTTGCGACAGTTTTAAAATGACTGCCTAATAACTTGTGTGACATATGGGGAACAATAGAGTTAATTTTGCATAGTCATGTACAAAAGCAGAAATCGTCCTAGTATATTATTATAGGCCTACTATATTATTATTCTAAACAAAATGGACTTGAAACTTGGAGCTAACATATACACTGACAGTTCTTTCCTTCTGATAGTACTTAAAATCCACCTGTTTCATTATTATATTATACAGTTATTTACATTAGACAAATGGACACACACACACACATCTTTGTGGGAACATATAACCCTAACCTTAACCATAACTAACTGCCTAACCCAAACCTTTACCCTAAGCTAATAACGGTATCTCTAAAACCAGGTCTTGACCCTCAAATCAAGTCTTTAAATGGGTATCAGATAGTTGGGGCCGATGTACTGAAGAAACATAGGCTACCAATCAGATTCTGTTAAAATATTTGCATTGAAGGGGTATGTATGGACGGGTAGCTACGGACATTGAAAAAAAAGCTTCAAACCAAATGAATATGATGCTGGTAGCACAATCTGATATATAGATAGCATTGTTCACTATTGATTTGTGCTATTTCTGTATTGATGGAAGGTAGCCCAATCTGAGAGGGTAGCACAAATCGTTATAATATCCTCACTTTACTCACTCTGATGGTCTAAATCACAAGTATAGTACACATACAAGACCACTTGACCACAGATCATACAAGATCTATCTATCTATCTATACATGAAAATCAATAATCAATATATATATATATATATATATATATATATATATATATATATAGCCTATATATATATATCCACTGTGTATTGCTTTAGAATAGCCTATTGGCACATTTTCATGCAAACCTGAACACAGCTCACGCCAAGACAATGCAATAGGCAATACAAATACTAGACGGTGTCTCATAATTACAAAGGTTTCAGATTGTTCGATAAAATCACTTCATTAAAATGTTTTTAGACATTACTGACGTCCGATTGGGGGTCTTTTATCTTTTAATCTGCACTTCCGCCTTCCGCTGTTGCACAAGAGTCTGTTTTGGGCTTGCGCCTTAAAGTAATAGAAATGTCGTAAATATCTTGAACTTCGTTCAGAATTATTTTAGGCTACAGTTTTCTTTCAGGGTTTTAAGGATGTCGTCGGAAGTGAACACTGCAAACGCGGAGAGCAACGGGAAGAAGATAGGGGTAAAACTATAAATACTTTTCTTGTTCCTAGTGTTGTCATGATATAGCATAACGTTACATAAGTTAACTTACTCGATATTGTTTGTGTCTCAGAAGCTTATAATGACCCTTCCTAACGAGACGACATATTATCGTTTAAGGATCAGGAACATCCTCGTGTGCTCATCCCAGAGCTGTGCAGACTCTTCTATGAGTTGGGCTGGGTGACAGGAACCGGGGGAGGAATAAGCCTGCGGCATGGGTTAGTCAAGGCATCTTGCAGTAATAAAATCCACTGTGTTCGGCAATATGTACTCGGTATTTGGGCCAGACAGTGACATAAAAAGTCCACTGTAAAGATTGGCAAGGTATTAAACACATTTTTGGAAATTGACTCATTATCCACGTGGCTAAGATCGTTTTTGCCTTAGGCTATACCGTATGACGAATACATTTGTGGTGTAAAATTATCAATTGTAATATCTTATTAACCTCGACACAACCGTGGGGGTTCTGCAGAGTCTCTATGAAATAATGTCCTTTTTTGTTTTGTTTCCCCCTTGTATGAATAGTTGGACCACGTGATTTTGCAGACAAAACTTTTCCTTTTTTTCTTCTTCTAAGATAACAATATTATGCCAAACTATCTAATAATTTTTCTTTTCAAAATGTCATTCTTTTGATTTCTACATAATGGCATCAGTGTGGTTGTATACTGTGATGTTTAGGACTTAATGCCTGCCAAAAATATTAAAATCAACAATAAATTAATTAATGTACTCATGTAATTAAATATGTATGGAATTCATTGCACATCATATAATAATTATTTCTTCACCCAGTGAGCACATTTATATAGCTCCATCAGGTGTTCAGAAGGAGAGAATACAAGTAAGGCTTTTTTCTTCATGAGTCATATGCACCACACATCAGTAGTTGGTCTGTATAAAGAAATAACACCAAGAAACTATAATTCCACTCCTGTTTGTAGCCTGAGGACTTGTTTGTGTGTGACATTGATGAGAAGGACATCAGTTGTCCACCTCCACAGAAGAAGCTAAAGAAAAGTCAATGCACACCCCTCTTCATGAACGCCTACACTATGAGAGGTATGTGTCCACTCCACACACAGTGTTTTGTTTCAGTTCTGGATTGTATTTGGAATGCATTATCATTCTCTTTCACAGGAGCTCAGGCAGTCATCCATACACACTCAAAGTCTGCTGTCATGGCAACTCTCATGTTTCCTGGCAAGGAGTTCTGCATCACACATCAAGAGATGATCAAGGGGATTCGAAAAGGAAACTCCAATACAAACTACAGGTTGTACATCCTGCTTCACTAGATGCTTCACTAGTCACTGATCCCACTCATGCCATTTTTACATGAGTGAAATGTAACGTGTTCTTGTCAAATAATACTACATCTCAAAAAAGAACAGTTGTGTAAACATCTAAAATCCTGCTTTTACTTTACTGTTTGAATGTGTTTTGGCCCCAGGTATGATGAATCTCTAGTTGTTCCAATTATTGAGAACACCCCAGAGGAGAAAGACCTAAAAGAGCGCATGGCCCGAGCCATGGACATGTACCCCGACTCCTGTGCTATTCTCGTCCGCAGACATGGGGTCTACGTCTGGGGAGAGACCTGGGAGAAAGCAAAGACAATGTAAGCTACAAAATGAAATGCACACCTCATTTTGTGTATGTATACAACATTTTTTCTTTACTGAACCTGGGGCCTGTACCATGGTGGTAGTTGAACAAACTCAGGGTTGCAGGATTAGTTTCCAGTTGACAGAATTAAACCAATCCAACTAGGCTTTTTTGGTACCATGATGCTGATCATCAACTTTCTATGTCAACTCAGGCTTTCTCTGTCAACTCAGGCTCAGACATCAGTAGCGAACAGCCAATCACATGATAAGAAAGAGTGAAACTCATTCAAAACTCATTGAAATTAATTTCTCGCAAGAGAAGTAGCCCAATTCCCTTAATAAATAAGAGTATTAAAATATTAAGAATTTAAATAAATTTACACAGCAAGAAGAAAATAGCTGTCTATGAAAGAGGACAACTAAAAGAAAAGGTCTCGTTAATGTATGTAACGTGCAAGTAAAAGTTGTGACGTTAGTTTATGCAGTTGATAAAGGTATAGAGAGGATTTAACATTTAAGCTCACATGTAGTCATTTTATAGCTTAATTTATTGATTCTAAAGCATATTTATATTACCTTTATATACTACGTATTCATTTAAAATCTGTGTAATAATAATTGATGAACTGATGTGAGATCGTTTAAGGGTATAATAATTACAGGAATCATTTCTAAATCATACAAATTTATTTACTAAAAGATTTTGTCTTTTAAAATCATTTGCTTTGTAGTGACCTTTAATTTGGAGTAGATAGAGGTGGAGTGACTTTATCGCATCAGACATGCCACTTTGCTCACAGCTGATTGGTCTAAGTTTGGTTTGCAACCTCTTACCTGGAACATAACCTGCCCCGGACCAGGTTAGCTGTGGAGTTTGAGTTACTATGGCGATGAAAAGTGCTAAAAGCCAAACCACTTACATGGTGCCTAAAAACCAGGGTTAGCTCAAACTAAACTGAAACATAGCTGGCTCGCCACCTAAACCAGCTTCATGGTATAGCCCCCTGGTCTCTCCCAAGGTTTTTTTCTCCATTCTGTAACCTGATGGAGTTTTGGTTCCTTGCCACTGTTGCCTTGGCTTTTGGCTTGCTTAGTTGGGGACATTTAATATTAAACAATATTTTTGATCTGCCTTACTTAGGTGGAAATTGATGCAATTTTTTTCTAGAAACAAACTTGTTGTATTATTTTCATGTTATCACTGTGAAGCTGCTTTGATACAGCCTGTTTGATTATTTTTCAGGTGTGAATGTTATGACTACTTATTTGACATAGCTGTTCAGATGAAACGGTGTGGCCTGGACCCTTCTGCTCTTCCCACTGAAGATAAAGGAATTGTTTGACACATTTGACTCTGTACAATTAACCAGTTACCATCATTCGTTTTAAATGACAAATCCTCATTGCACATCTCACTGTTTTTTGAAAATGTACAGTTCAGCATTTGCCATGCAATATTTATTTTACAAGCAAAGTTAAATGTCAATTACCTGCAAACAGAATGGAATGTAAGAATGCAGATTAAAAGGGCATTCTGAAGCTAATGAGTGTCATTCTTTTTGTCTGGATATTTTTGATCCTTAGCAACAATGGCCTCAATGTCATAATTTGCATTAATTTTGACAGCTATATGTATATAATAAAATACATTGATATGCTAGTTATAAATACACAGTAAAAACATTTACCGGTATTTGTGTTTTTTTTTAATTCTTGTTTTTCAATTGGGTCCACTCAAATGCTTATGCTTTAATTATTATATACACTACCATTCAGTGTTTGGGGTAAGATTTTTTGGTCCCACTTTGTATTAAGTGGCTTTAAGTACTATTTACTTATATTGAAATTAATAATTTGATACAATGGACTTTTTGTGTACACACATGTTTTTACATTGTACTTATATCTTGAAAATACCTGCATGTAATTACAGCTGTAATTAATTTTAATAAATTACATTTGTAATTGCACTGTTGCCCCTTCCCATACACCTTAACCCACCCATACCACCAGACCTGTCCCTAACCATACCCATATCACATCTCAATAGCAGCAAAAGTGTTTTACAATACAACATGAACACAATAGGTACATTGTACTTATTTTTTATGTAAGTACATAGTACTTAAAGCCACTTAATATAAAGTGGGACTGAATGTTTTTGAAAGAAGATTTTCATTAAGGCTGCATTTTATTTGATTAGAAAAACAGTAAAACAGCAATATTGTAAAACATTATTACAATTTAAATTAACGGTGTTCTATTTGAATACATTTTAAAATGCAATGTATTTCTGAAATGGCAAAGCTGAATTTTCGGCATCATTACTCCAGTCTTCATTGTCACATGATCCTGCAGAAATCATTCTAATATGCTGATATCCTGCTCAAAATTATGAAAGCAGTTGTGCCACTTAATATTTTTGAATAGAAAGTTAATAAGAATAACATTAATATATATATATATATATATATATATATATATATATATATTGTCACAATTTAATGCATCCTTAATAGTGCTGTCAAATCGATTAATCGCATCAAACAAAAGTTTTTGTTTACGTAATATATGTGCGTGTATATTATAATTTTATTATATACATTTCTGTGTGTGTGTGTGTGTGTGTGTGTGTGTGTGTGTATATATATATATATATATATATATATATATATGTGTGTGTGTGTGTGTGTGTGTGTGTGTGTGTATACAGTGTACATACACATACACACATATAATAAAAACTAAAACTTTTATGTTAGATGATTATCGTGATTAATCAATTTGACAGCACTAATCCTTTCTGAAAATGTTTATTATATTAAAAAAATGTTGCTGACCACAAAGGTTTGAACAGTAGTGTGTGTGGGATATGGTCTGTTTAAACTTTAAACCATAGCATTATGTCTGTTGGATAATATAGCCAGGAGATGGCAGTGTTGTCTCTAGACTTATTGTAAGAATTATTGTGGAAGTGCCGTTTGTAACTTCAAACATGTTTGTATTTAACTGTTTTTAATAAGTCTGCATTTAACAGCTTGCGTTTCCATGAAATATAAAAACAAGTGTGGTGTACCAGAGTCGGGACTCAGAGAAAGACTAATTTTTTTAGCTGCCATCCATTTTATACTGCTTCTGCCTGCCCATCCATTTGAATGAACATTATTCTCAAAGGCCCTGTAATTCGCAAGCTACCCGTGCCTGCTAGAAGCTACAGGGCTGGTCTGAACTGAGATTGGGTGATTCAAACCCCCTCAGTGGCTGGTTTTATCATTCCTCATATGCTGCTGCAGTTCATCTCTGAGGGAATGCCTCTTGTTGTAGAGCAGGTTTCATCAGTCATGTACTGTATGAGCTTATTCAGTGCAATCAAAACATGATCAAATCTGATGCTCCCTTATTTCAAAACTGCTGCAGACCATCCATGGCATGGATCTAAATGCAACTGATGCTGTGAAAGAATATCCATAGTGTTCAGTGGTCCCAAAAATACAATATGACAACCTTATTTCATTGCAGTGTCCTGAAAAATTGACACTAGATAATTAAAGATATAAACTGATAATACAGTTAGACCCTACTAATTAATAGAATCTAAATGTGTATGTGATTGTGTACTACAACATTTCTATTTGAATAAAGTGTGTTCCCTATCGATATGGTTCACTTGTTTTGCATCGCTAGACGCGATCCGGAAAAACTCCTTTTACTCTGAATGTTGAATCCTTTATTAAATAATGTAGTGAAACTACACAAGCTATAGAAGTTTATTAATATAATCTACGCGAGTCATTTGGCTGAGCAGTGGCAACTACACAAACCTATGGCGTCACAGCGTATCTGCGCAAACCAATCGTGCGTCAAAGTGACCTGTCTCCCGAACTTTTTCAGTCCCTAGCCACTAGGGCCAAGGCTTGGGAAGCTATTCCTTGCTAGAAGACCCAACTTCTTGTGACGTACCATTGGTACTGTCTTTTCTAAAAGAACACCCCTTCTACAGTCACAGTATACATGGCAAACATAGGCCGGTCTCTATGCAGGAACAACCTGGTTGTCAGTTTTCTGAAAGGGGCTAGGAGGCTCAAATCACCTCGTCCTCTTACCATCCCCACGTGGGACCTGTCAATGGTCATTTGGGCCCTGAAAGGATCTCATTTCGAGCTGTTATAGTCTACAGAATTATGACAACTTTTGCTTAAGGCCACCCACCTACTAGCATTAGCATCAGTGAAGCGAGTGGGTGATTTGCAAGTGCTCTTTGTGAGCGTATCTTGCCTTGAGTTTTGGCCTAACGACTGCAAACTCATCCCTTAAACCAAGACACGGCTATGTGCCTAAGGTGCCCTCTACTCCATCCAGGGCACAAGTCATTTCGCTGTCTGCTCTTCCTGTTTCGGAAGTCAAGCGAGAGTTACACTTACTCTGGCCCGTTTCTTAGTGTATATATTGAGCACTCTGCCCAGTTAAGACAGTCAGAGGAGCTCTTTGTGTGCTTCAGAGGCCGCTATAAACAGCTATTCAACTAACACGTTGATGCTTCAAAAAGTTCATAAAGAGATTGTAAAACATACATGGTTACTAACGTAACCTCGGTTCTCTGAGAGTAAGAGAATGAGTATCGTGTAGCTAATACACAGTGGGGAAACTCCTTTTCCTTGAAATATTAAAGTAATAATTTAAAACACAGTGCAGGTGCACAGTGAAAACACAGCAGAGTGTCAAGCTCGCTCACTGCCTGTACTGCGGCAACTGCACATCCAATGGCAGAGCACCTCAGACGTGTGACCCAATCAACTGACTTGGCGCCGAGTACATCAGAGCGCGCCTAAATAGGTGTGGCCTAAGCCTACTATATAAAGATCACTCATTTCGGCCAATATCCATTCGTCCATCCATTCATCTTCTTCCGCTTATCTGGGGCCGGGTTGCGGAGGCAGCAGTCTAAGCAGAGATGCCTAGACTTCCCTCTCCCTAGACCCTTCCTCCAGCTCTACCGAGGGGACACCGAGGCGTTACACATTGTCCCTCCAGCCTGTCCTAGGTCTTCCCCAGGGTCTCCTTCCAGTGGGACGCGCCCGGAACACCTTCCCAGGAAGGCGACCAGGAGGCATCCAGAACAGATGCCTGAGCCACTTCAGCTGACCCCTCTCGATGTGGAGGTGCAGCGGCTCTACTCTGAGCTTCTCCCGAGTGTCTGAGCTTCTCACCCTATCTTTAAAGACTTTTTTCTGTGAGGTCCCCAGATACCCGTTCAGGGTCCATACATGGAGGGACCATAAGTTAGGGTGAGGGTTCCAGATCATCCTGTTCGCCTCTGTGAGGAGTCCTTCCTCACTGACACTGGCCAGGGAACAGTGTCCATCATGCGTGCCAGCTCTGGAAACCACGGTTGGGTTTTCCAGAGGGGGGCTACTAGGAGGACTGAGAATCCGCTCTCTTTGATCTGTCTGATGACCTAAGGGATCATAGAGACCGGTGGGAGCGTATACAGTGGACGTCTGGGCCATGGGTGTGACAGCACGTCCCTGTTCGTTGAAAAGAATGTTGCGCAGTGAGCGCAGTGCCCTGCCAAACAAACACCATATCAGGCGAACCGTCTGTGAGTGGAGTGACCACTTGCTTGGGGAGGTGTGGTCTTGAGACAGCATGTCCACACCCCACATTTAGGTCTCCCAGGGCATGCACAGCTCTCAGGGAGCGCAGGTTGGCATTCGACCAAATGAGGAGCGTTCTGGCCATGATATACTGGCTGCCTGTTCTGAGGCCACCCTGGCAATTTATATAGGATACCACCGATATGTTGTCCGTGCGGACCAAGACATGGTGTCCCCTGAGGTCTGGTAGAAATGCATTCAAGGCTAACCAACCTGCTCTCATTTCCAGGCACTTCAGTAGCTTTGCTTTATAATGTTAATTCCTGGCTAAGATTTTAACATAGATTGGGGAAAGTCTGCCTAGCATAGGGGGACCTGATACCCTTGTGTTGTGTGTTTGAAACATACTCTTTTTGTGCTCGCGTTGCTGTGAGTTTTAGACAAGCTCTTTTTGAGGGCGGCTAGCACGAAACTTGGGCCCTCTTTCTTTCCTTCCACAGCTAGGGAGGGCTTCGGCGGCTCAGGGTCCAACACAAAGCGGGGTTGGGAGCCCTGGCGCCGGGGTGCTTGTTTCTCTGGCTGTGGAGGAGTCGTGCTCTTTTAGTGGCTTGAAGCAGAACTGGAGCGTTTAGGTAGGAAGTGTCTCATAGCTTGAGAAGATTTCTGTGCCTCAGTAAGCCTCTCAGAAAACCCCTTCACTGCCGGGCCAAAGAGACCGGTGCTGGTGATAGAAGAGTCGAGAAACGCCATTCTGGCCCACTCCTTGATGTCTGTGAGGTTCAAGCAGAGGTGGTCCTCGAGCATGAAGAGGTTAGCCATACCTCTGCCGATGCTCTGGGCGGTAGCTAGATCTGTGGCGCTGCGCAGGTCATGGAATGCCTCGGGGTTCGGGCCAGACTCGTCCATCGACTGGAGTAGTTTTGCCTGATACTCTTGCAGCACTGCCATGGTGTGAAAAACCGATGCAGCATGACCGGAAGCAGAGAAAGCGCATCCAGCGAGGGCTGAGGTCGCTCCTCACAGCCGCTGTGAGGATGCGCAGCAGTCATGACAAAGATACTGACTGGTTATGATGTATTATGTCAAGTTGTCATTAAGA